CTTACAGTTGCATTTCCGCCCTGTCATTATGCACAGTAAGCATTTCCTTACCGCACATACTGTACAGTAAGCATACATAATCACTGCCAAACACACACTCATAAACATGTCAAGCGCTCAGACCAGTGTGTGAATGACGCTACCCGTCTGCATTATGCTCAGCTATTAGATAAGTGCGAACAAACAGATCTATAAAGGGAGCGACTGATGTTATTTACGCTGTATTCTGGTGTAATATTACAGCATGCACATTCATCTATAAACAATATGTGTGATGTGTTGAATTTGTGACCTTGTGGGGACCAAACGTAACCACACGTCTAGCAATACCAGTACATTTTGAGCTTGTGAGGACATCTCCTTTGGTCCCCATGAGGAAAACGGCTCATGAATCACACTGAATGAAGTATTCTGAAAATGTAAAAATGCAGATTGTTCGCCCTACAGAAACATCCAGCTTAAACCAGCCTAGGCTGGTTTTAGCTGGTCGACCAGCCTGGTTTAAGAGGGGTTTTGGCCATTTCCAGGCTGGTTTCCAGCCATTTTCAGCCTGGTCTTAGCTGGCCAGGTTGGGAGATGTAACACGGGGAGTGACACAGACAACTGAAGTAGTATCCACGTGCAAGCAATGGTCAACACAGATGCAAACAGATGTATAGAGGCAGTCCAGAATCGTAGTCAAAGAACAGGCGAGAGGTCAGAAGGCAGGCGGCAGGCGAAGACAAAAAGACAAACTAGGCTAAGGTCAAAAACACGGAGATACAAGAGCAAGAAAAAGTGTTGAATTGTCACTGTAGCAGATATCAAGACTCGGCAATGTGAACGAGTGAGTGTGCTGCTTAAATAGTGTGTATAATCAGTCTGTGACAATCCTCAGGTGGTGCGAGTGTAATCAGTCTAAATGAGGAAGCATGTGTGAGTGTGAGTGGAGTGCATGCATGAAAATGTAGTCCAGAAATGGCGGATTTGTAGTCCATAAGTATTGTGTGTGAGATCCAGCGATCTAAAGAGTTACGATCGCTGGTGATCGTGACAGTTGCAGTATTGGTCTGTCGGTTAGTCAGTCAGTCAACAGTGGCCTCTGGTGAATTATTATTATTTATTTTTCAGCATGCTGCTTATGTTGCCAGGCAGAAACACTTCCGAAATGCTAGCTGCCAGTGAGGTTTTTATGTTTCTCTGTTTCTAGTTTCTTCGCATTTTTTGAAAGCTGCCCTAGCTTAAACGAGTTCATTTTAAAGCTGGAACCAGGGGACAACTTTAATCATAAAGTAAACACAAAACATAACTTTCTATATGGACCTCATTCATGGGACACGACACTTGTAAACACTCACTCCAACGAGTTCCCACGGCTTTCAGTCCTGCCCACACCCATCAGCGCTACCCAGCCGACCAATGACAGAGCTTGCGTTACGTGTCATTGCGACATGTAGTTACATTTTTTGAGAGGTGCGCGTCGGCCACGGCAAGGTTTTTGAGTCCATGCGCCGGCTGCCTTTACGTGAGAACAGCTGGCGTGAATGGAACTCACGAGAGAAATTTAAGATCAGAAAAAGCCAACACAGCGACCTCTGGTGGATTTACGGCAACAAAAACTGCAAAACAAATGTAGATCCTGGAACATATTTGGCACTCTCCAGAAATGTACACAGGGGTACGTATTAATAATGAGCCTGTGTTGCGATTTACTCACGTTTTGAAGTAAGGTCAACTAATAGCTTTAAAAACAATGGGTTCACTCCAGCCTGATCTCACGAGAAAACGTAAGTATTTTACGTTTCGCCAGTTTAGCGGCTAATTCATACGAATTCGTACTAGTTCAGTCGTATGAAATTGTACGATTTTAAAAAGGAGGCGTGGCACCTAACCCCACCCCTAAACCCAACCGGCATTGGGGAATGAGCAAATCGTATTAAATTGTACAAATTATATCGTACGAATTCATACGAATTAGCCACGAAATGAAAAAGTTACGAATTGCCGTGAGATTGTGTTGGTTCACTCACGTTTTAGGTACAATCTGCTTTTTTTCAATCATTTTTAGCAATGTCGGTGTGAGTTTTTGTTCAGAGAACTGCGTCACTGGAAGTTGTGAGAATATCAGATTATTACTTTATTATTGTGAACATATTATATTAAGATGCCTGACTGCAAATGATTCTTTCAATATCATTTGAGTTTAGCACAGCTGTTTCTTCTAAAATCTTTCTCTCTCATGTGGCATAATTATTTTACCTGGTTCTTTTCTGATTACAGAACAATTTTTCCTGACAATTAAAATTGTGTTAATTCGCAAACCCATATTATTTTCTTTAAAGTGAAATATGGATGCTGGTTTCTCTGCCGCACAGTAAATCACATTTGAGAAGGGAAAATTATCAGTGAACTTTGATCATTTTTAAGCTGTATTATGGTTCCAGATGACTTGTAATACAACACATGAGTTATATGGACTCCTTTTATGATTATGTTATGGTGTGCAAGATTTCCTGTTATGAGTTTGTGATAAGAGGATAAAAAATCTAGTGTTGGAACTAGAAGACATTAGGAAACAATGACAGCAATTGAAGCCAACTTTTCATTTGCAGTAGATGTTTCTAGTGAATGTTTTCCAACATTTTTATTTTGTTTTTGGTCTCAGAATCATGGCTTTGTCTGTCAGATTTATTGTCCTCTTTTCATATTAGACTTTTCATATCTGCCCACACTGATAAGGTCAGTCCATTAAGGGTGCAGTTTCAGGCTGGAGAACTCATTATCAAATGTGGCAGCAAATATGTGTGTCAGATTGCAGATTAATTCCCAGAAATGTGTGTCAGGCAGATTTTCATAAAAATCAATATACTATATGAGGGTAAACATACCCATTGAGTTCTCCAAAATCATCACAGAGACATTTTAGTGCACAAGATTTTAGTGTAGATGTACATTTAATAAAATGGCTGAGTTTATAAACTGCTACCAATGTCTATTAATGTAGAGTTACCTCATTATTTATTCGCCCTCACATGGTTTTTAATTTCTTTCTTCATTTGAATTAGGGCTGGACGATATGGCAAAAAATATATATCACGATATATTTCTTAATTTTGGTCAATACAATATAATTCTGATATCAATATGGACAATATTAAAAATCCAGGAAAAAACTGCCAAGAATGCACACAATGGATGTCTGTACCCACAAATGTCTGCAAACTGAATTTGCAAAGCCTAGAATAACATCCAGGCTTTTATAACTTAAAAAAATTAAAATAAAAACAGTACAAAAAAATTATGTTCACTTTTTATTAGCATTTACCCTTTACAAACAAGAAGTGTTAAATAAACTGTCAAATAAATTAAACTCCCAGACTCAGCTTATATATATATATATATATATATCAGCATATATATTAGCCCCCTGAATTATTAGCGCCCCTGTTTATTTTTTTCACCAATTTCTGTTTAATGGAGGGAAGATTGTTTCAGCACAAGCATAATAGTTTTATTAGCTCATCTCTAATAATGGATTTATTTTATCTTTGTCATGATGACTAGATATTCTTCAAGACACTTCTATACAGCTTAAAGTGACATTTAAAGGCTTAACTAGGGTAATAAGGTTAACTACACTGTAAAAAAAATCTGTAAAATAACAGTTAAATGACTGTATATTTTAACAGATTTTTTCCGTATACACGTATTACGGGTGTTTTTCCGTTTATATACATTTTCGAATTGCATTGTGGGAAGGGGATCGCAGCTCAGACAGCGTTTGATGGACACCGGGACATATTTCTTCCTCAGTTTTTTCCCTGGTAAGTACGATTAATAAAACATATAACAATATTTTAGTTAAAAGACTGCTTTATTACCTTTTTATCGTTATTTAAAATGATTTTTGTCTTGTCTGAAGCGGCCATGGAAAGTACAGCAGTGAATTACGTTTAATATTGTTAATAAGATCAGACTTTATTTCATTAAGATCAAACTGAGCTATGAGTGGTTAAATGTAATTTAAACAAGCATTTACCTAATGATTTTTACCTTTTTATGCGTTTTTCTCATCAGTAAATATGATATCTGTTCATTTACAGTTGTTTGTCCGTATTTTTCTAAACTGCCGTGCGCGGGAAGTGGCGTGACGTCCAATCACCCACTCACTCCCTCTGCACCTGCGTGAGTCTGACTGGATTAACGGTAAACGTCAGCTTGTCTGTAAGAGTGTGAAAGGTATGTTAATTATTTTATAGAAATATAAATGTTTTCTTTGTACAGTGCATGAACAAGGGATAGCATTCAAAGTTTGTGTCACTGTGTAGTTTGGTTGATATACGTTACCTTTAATGAACACTAACGTTAACGTGTTTCAAACGCTCGTAACACCTGACCGTCTGTGTTTGTTTGCATATTAATGACTAATTTCATTTTTTTACTGACGTTATCAAATGTTAGCTTTAGTTTGACCGACGTATTAAGGCTGTGTGACCGAGTTTCAGTGGAACAGCTTTGCTGGTTTTTAAGTAAGTTATAAGTTAGACTCGCGTGAATTGGAGGCATTTGTAACTCGGTATGAGGGGAAATACACGTAAAGTTTTTATTAGTGGTGGGCCGTTATCAGCATTAACGTGCTGCGTTAACGCGAGACTTATCGCGCGATAAAAAAAATATATATATCGCCGTTAATCTATTCTCAACGTTGGGTTGGGAGCTGGGTGACTTTCATACTTTGATATTTTAGCGCGGATGTATACCTGACCGGTGAGCCGTCTGACAAACAAGTGCCCTTATGAATCAAATCAGCAGGATGCCTGACTTTAACTGCAGTTCGGCAGTTTCACTTTAACTCATGAACATTTCATTCATCCCGCGTGACAAACTGGGGTAATAGACGCAAATAAGAAGCAATAACTGATGAGAGTGTTATGGAATTTAATAACGCTCGCCAAATGGAACGAAAAAAAAACTTCCGCATTTCGCGACGCGTGTTTGTGTGTACAGAGATAACAGAGTGATACAGTACATGTGTGACATTTAAAAGTATTTATAGTGTTTACACTGTCATGCGTTTTCGGCCTCAAATACAACGTGTACCTTAAAGCACACAATTAAATGTTTGTTGTAGTCGAGTTGAACTGTCATTGATATTTATTTATTCACTTTTAAGAACCTCAAGGGCAGCTAATATGAAGATATAAAGATGAGTTGTTCTTCCACAGTCTTAAAATTCTTCAAACTAATTGTCAGTTCGATTCATTATAGCAAACAATACTTTCTTTACTATTAGGAGATCAGGAGTTTTATTTTAATGAAACCTTGATAATAGAGTGAACTACACATGGTGTTATCGCAAATGAAATCTTTTTATGTAGATTTTAAGTGAGTTTTATTTGCACAAATAAGGTTCACTGATATTTTGCTTTGTTGACTTTCAGGTTCTTTCATTTTGGTTTTAAGTACATGTTACAGGTAAATTCTTAGATTCAATCCAAACTGAATTTGAATTAATGCGGACAAATGAAATAAAATACACCTGGGATTTTAAATGTTTTCATTTTTTTATTATTCACAACGTTTGTGAAGTCTAAATGTAGACGGTCTCAAACTGAATGAGTGTTATTTTTGTTGTAGGTGTGTTGGTGTAAAAATTGATGCTGACTGGTTAGTACTGCATTTTTAACCATAACAATAATGATTTATATTTAGCATTGCATCTATTGTCATTTTACCAAGAATGTGTTTGCTCTTTCAGAACTCAGGCAGTTGTGCTGGACCCTCTGTACCTTATACAGGAGATGACTGTAAACTTTCAAGTTTAAGAGGTAAAATGTTCAGGGTTTTTCTGTTTGATTTTGAGTGTTTTGTAGATATAAGGTTCACTGATATATGATATAAGATTTGCTTTATGTTTATGTTGTCATTTTAGTTATAAGTACAAGGTACAGGTACATTTTCACAGCAATCTAAATTAAAATCTTAAATCTTACATTCAATCCAAACTGAATTTGAATTAATATGGACAAATGAAATAAAATACACCTGGGATTTTAAATGTTTTCATTTTTTTTTATTATCCACAAAGTTTGTAAAGTATAAAAGTAGACTATGTGCAGCATGTTTCAAACTAAATGAGTGTTATTTTTGTTGTAGGTGTGTTGGTGTAAAAATTGATGCTGACTGGTCAGTACTGCATTTTTATAAATAATACAAAAAATTAAAATAAAAAATGATTTATATTTAGCATTGCATCTATTGTCATTTTACCAAGAATGTCTTTGCTCTTTCAGAACTCAGGCAGTTGTGCTGGACCATCTGTACCTAATACAGGGGATGACAGTAAACTTCCAAGTTTAAGAGGTAAAATGGTCAGGGTTTTTGTTTGATATTGATGCTTTTATTTTTATTATTTGGCAAACCAATTACTTGTACCTATATTTTTACTAAGTGTTTACATGAACACATTTTGCTTCAGTAAGTTTTGAATTTTGTTAACATGTATTCAAACTAAAAAGTACTGGGTTGATGTGGGTGTTTTATCTGGGTTTTTTAAGCTGCTACTGTAATCTGTTAAATAAACCAAGCAGTTATTTATTATTATTATTTATTTTTGCATCATTTGAAATGTTACAAGTTCTTTATTTTGGTAATGTCTGTTTAAAGTGATAAGGAAATAACTGGTCCACTGCTGAATCTCTTTTCTTTTCTCTCTTAGCCACCTGATGATGAGAGAGACAATTTCAATGTGGGCATCTTGATGGTGAGCCAGGCCTTCATGCTGATTTTGTGACCGTTTAATCTATTTAGCGTCATTGTAATAACTTTATTTCAGGATGCAAAACTGGCTAAAAATCTACTTTAAATTTCAACATTAATTGTATGATAGTGTGGTTGATTTAACATTTTATTTAATGTTGGGTTCATTGTAAAAAAATAAGATTTAATTTTGGTTGAATAAATGCTGATTTTGGGACAGTTTTGTCTATTTATTATCATAGAATTACCATTATTTCAGGGTGGAAAACTGCCTAAAAATCAGTGGTGACTTTTTAACGTTGTTTCAATGATAGTTTGATTGATGTTTTAACATT